GACAGGAGGGCCCAAACAGGGGACCGAATATCATAAGGGAATATAGTGATGGGTCACGGGTGAGGCATGGCTGGAGAACTGTAGGGATATACCTGAGGGGACAAACTAATAACTGTACAAAAATGGATGTAAGAAAATAAATAAATAATAAGGTTGTACCTGTCTGACAATGTGGCTGTGGATGGGTTTGTTATTGTAAATGTGAGCTGTTATTATTTATGGCCACATGTCCCTCCTGGGAGTTCAGAAGCAGTGATGCCCAGGTCTGTGGGTATGAAAGCTACCCCAACCACCACCATCATGTTCTTAGAAAATATGCTCTTCCCCCAAGGCCTCACCCCACCACCAAGGATACATCCATGACGGCCACCATGCTGCGGCACGTGTCAATGCCAAAACCATCAGTCTTCAGATCAGGGTCTGTGGGGCACAGGTTGAATGAAGTTCAGAAGCCAGAGGTCACTGCCACCCCAGCCCTCATGCACCTAAACCCGCCCAGTGTGCTGATCCCGGTCACTCACGTCGAGTTACCACCTTGTTGAGAATGTTCATGAGTTCTGTGGCACTGACCTCCATGTCCTGAGGGCAGAAGAGGGGAAGGGGGTGTCAGGGCGACTTGAAGGGATCTGGGCACATCAGGAAGGAGGACAGGAACTTCTGGACTGCTGTGGTGGACAGGAACTTCTGGACTGCCGTGCGGCCCAAAGGAGGCATGGGGATCCCGGGTTACTTACATCTCCAGCCAGCTGCGCAAAGAGTCGCCGGAACTGACGGACCTCCTCGCTCTCATTGGCCTCAATGTTGGCATAATGGGTGCGTGGGGGCTGCAGAGGGAGGAGATGGCAATCAGAGAGGGGAAGGAGGCACCCTGGGCAGGATGGGGAAGTCTGGGTGGGCTGGGTAATCAAAGGAGTGTGCGATCAGCGAACAGGGAAGAGGTATACCCAAGACCCATAGTAAGTCTGAGGACGCGGTAAGGGACAGGCTTAACAGAAGCACTTCTCGGTGGGGAGAGGGAGCGGGATTTCTTCAAAGGGCCAAGAACGGCCTCTGAGCGAGGAGAGCGATCTCGGCGTGGAACTCGGCTTACCGGGGGCTCTGGGTTGTACTGCGCAGCCGCCTCACTGAAGGAAACAAGTGGGGGTTAGGCCCAGGGGGCGGGGCCTCCAACGGCAAAGCCAAGCGTCCACACGCCAACCCCCAAGCCCCAGACAGCACGCCACCCTCCTTCCCGGCTCCCTCTGCCCACCTGCCTGTCCTTATCCCCACCTGTCCCTACCCTTGCTGCCCTGGTTGCGTAGGCAAGGAAAGCTGAAGGCCCACTCTCCAGCAGGCTTCGCGCCTGCTAGGGCACACCCACCCGTGGCAGAGTCCCCAGCAGGCCCTCACCTCGGAGGGCTGGCCTCAAGAAAGCCCTGCCGCAGCTTCCCAGGGCCCCACTTCCTCAGCCGGGGGTCTAGGATGTACTCCACCACCTATGTCTTCCCAGCATCCCACCTCGGCTCCATTAGACCCTGCCCCTCACGGGGTCCTAGACGCAAGCCACTAGGTTCCTAGACGCAGCCAGGAGATCTCCCTCCACCAGGGTAGTTTTCTATTTCAATACGGCCCGTCCCTTCTATTTTAATCTGCCGCATCCCTTAGGCCTTGACCTCTTCTGGGCCCATCTCACGGACCCACCTAGGACAGCAGGTCGCTCCCATTACCCACGCTTTGCCCTACAAGAAATGACAGCTAGCCTCATCGGCTCGGCCCTCTAACGTACTCCTCGAGGTTAGGGGAAGCAGGCCGAGCCCAGTCGCATTACGCCCCACCTCCCCAAGCCAGCTAGGTCCCACCTGCCGGCTCCCCTTCAACAGTCAGACCACGCCCAGCCAAGCCCCGCCCCAGGACCGGCCCAGGCTAATTAAGGGTCGGGGTCAATCTCCAGGTTACCCCATTCTATTCTTGGGAGACGAGCTTCCTCCTTGGGCCCCGCCCCTCGGGCCCCGCCCCCATCCGACCACGCCCCTCAGATGTCTCCCTCTGCTGGCCCCGCCCCTCTTGCCCCGCCCTCTCACCACGCCCCCTCAGGTCCCGCCCCCATCTGGCCCCGCCCACCTCCGACCCCGCCTTACCTGATGGCGCTGATGACCCCGCCCAAGATGCGCATGGCAGTTCCGCCACCTCCTCCTCCGCCGCCGCCGCCGCCGCCGCCACCGCCGATCAGTCCTCCGATCACATTGCCCAGGCCTCCACCTCCCCCGCCGCCGCCGCCGCCGCCACTGGCTCCGCTGATCAGGCCTCCGAGCATATTCCCAAAGCCCCCGCCTCCCCCGCCGCCGCCGCCGCCGCCGCCGCCCCCACCCTTCAGGAAGGAGTTAACCAGGAACATGGCTGCCACTCAAGATTCCTGAGGGGGAAAAGGCGATCAGGAGGCGGCCTCGTCCCTCAGCCCGCTCCCTCCTGCCGCAAAATATGCCTTTTGCAGCGGGGGCGTGGGGGAGCAATATGAGGCCTCCAGGCGGGGACCGACCATTCGGGAGGGGGTCTGGGCCCTGGGTGGAGGGGAGGACTGGGGCGGGTGGGGTAGGGAGGCCCGACTCTGCAGGTGTAAAAGTGCCTCGGGGCCCGCGGTGTCGGGCTCGCGGGACGACTCTGGGTCGAGTCTGCGTACACAAGCATCCTAGGGACCCAGGTCTGGCGGGCTTCTGGAAACGGGGACCCCGAGTAAGGCATTCTTGAGTGGGCGCCCGAATCTGGAGCCAGAGCTGCAGAACTGGACTTAAGGGCACTGGGGGGTCAGCGGGCGGATCAGAGATTCTCCATCAGGAAGCCTCAGGGCCGGGTTCAGGAAATCGAAGTTTAGGTACTCCCAGCAGCGGGGTGTCAGTGGCACAGCCATGTCTGTGAGCGCGGGCTTAAGTTCGTGGATATGAGCCCTGGACGCGGGGATAACGGAGTCCCCACTGGAGTTAGGAGAGCGGATTCAGGACTGTGGCTCTAGAACCCCCTCCAGGGCGGAATTTATGGGGTACTTCCTAAATCCATGGGCTCATTTTTAAGACACAGAGGTTGTAGTCTCCAGGGTGGGGTAATGGGGGTTGGACAGGTCTGGGAATTGGAATCTAAGATTCTGAGTCGGGAATCTCTGATGCTGGGGTTTTGGGGTCTCGATGGGCCTGGGGCCACCAGGGCCAGGATTACGGGGTTCGGGGGGGCTTACTGACCCGGCGCTGCCCTTGTCACTCACGCGTCCGCCGACCGCTGGCCGGTGCTGCTCCAGGGCCTCCGGCTGCGTCCAGCTCCGTAGGGCGGGGTCGGTGACTCAGGCCCAGGCAACCCCGCAAGTCTGTGCGCGGGGGCCGGGTCGGCGTCCGCGGGGTCCTAGAGCCAGCAGCTCATCGCGCCTGCGCGCGTGGCCCCGCCCTTCCTGAGGGGGTACGTTTAGTGCACCCGGTGTTCTGCGGCGCTCGGGCTGAGTAGGCGGGAGGTCTTCCCCCGGCCTTCTGTGCGGGCCGAGGCACCTGGGGATGAGATCGCCGGTGAGACCCGGAACGTCGCCGTGCTGGAAGATACCCCCAGCCATGAAATTTCTCCTGGAAGCCAGGCCATGATTGCAGTTTGGGGTTCGCTGTAAAAGAGACTCTCAGCCCTGGGTCCCTACCCTGGTCCTATAGCCACAGCGTCTGAAAACCCGAGAGTTGCTTGGCCCTCAGTCAGGAGACAAGCGCAGGAATCTGCGCTAGAAACACTAGACTCGCTTTCGGGGGACCCTGCAGCCAGCCAGACCGGGGAGAGGTTTTTCTCGGGTCGGATTCACCAGAATGGTTTCTCCAGGACGGGCCCAAAGTGTCGGCTTTTCCCCATTCTCTAAACAAGGGCCGAACTCTGAAGAGTCCTGGCCATGTCCTGGCTCTCTTTGTTTCCAAGATCAGAGGGTGGGGGTGGGGACTTCCGAAACTGGAGGGGAAACGGCGATTGAAGTCACCTTTGGAGAATTTTTCCTTGCTCTGTGATTCTGACCTCTAACCTGTGCAGACCCAGTACTTTCTGAGGGAGCTAGATCAGGTCCCAATGAGTCTGGCTAGTGGATCCTTAGCCTCGCACCCCAGGAGGGTACCTAAACTTGTGTTCGAAATCTGACGCAGCCCCTAGCTGTAGGGCTCCAAGACAGACTTGGAATCTCTACAATAATTTTCTAATCTGTAAAATGGAAAAAAGGGCTCCGATACTCCCCCCACCCCGTGCCACCCAACTGCACCCACTACAGGCTACTTAACCAGAATTAAGTGATAAATGTAAATGGGTCACAAGGTCACAGAGATAAAACCAGAGTCACAGTTATTCTTTCTGAGGCTGGCTGGGGCCAGGCCAACAAAACTGGGACACAAGCCTGTCTATGAGTCAGGAACTAACAGGAGAGAAAATGGAGGCCTTGAAGGTGGGGCCACTTTCCTGAGGTCACAGAGGGTGGCAAGACCAGGTATGAACCTGGGCATGGGTGATGCCAAAACCTTTGTCAATGACTAACCTGGATTCCCTTCTCACCACACCCCTTCCTGGCAGATTGAGCTTAACCAGAATTAAGTGATAAATGTAAATGGGTCACAAGGTCACCCCTTTTTGGGGTTCATTACTTCCTGGAACACTGCTGCCCTTACTCCCCAACCCCCACCTCCCACCCCAGGTTTTGTCCCAGTGAGGCCTTGGATGTCATCTCCTCCAGGAAGCCCTCCATTGTTTCCACCCCCACTGAGACTAGGTGAAGCTTGCAGTTACATACTTGTAACTTGTTTTTTCACTCATAGTTACAATCATACTGTCACCTAGACTCCCTGACCTCTCAAGCCTGGCCATCTCCAAGTCTTAGGCCTTGGTCTTCTCTGTGTCATGCAGGCCATAGGAGAACTCCCCATTGGCATGGCTTACATGCCGTCTTTAGGTTAGTAACACCCAAATTTCTGTCTTCAGATATCTCCTAGATCCTACTCTCCCTCTCCATGGGGTCTCAGAGATGTCTCAAGCCTCATATCCCATACTGAGCTTCTCACTTACCTCCCAGACCTGCATCCTCCTAGCCTTCCCCATCTAGGTTAATGACATCTTTCCAGTGACTGACACCAAACCCCAGGGTCATCCGGACGCCCACTCCACCCTGTCAGCGAACCATGTAATCCACCAACAGAATCAGAACTTCTTCCTCTCCATTGTACCCGGTCTGACTGAGCTTCCCTCCCGGACCTGGACCGTCACAGCAGCCTCCTCCCTGGCCTCCCAGCTCCAATGCACACCCCAATAGTCTGGCCCCCAAATGTGCTCAGAGGGAGCCTGTGAACCCCTGAATCAGATCAAGGTCCCTCCTACTGAGCCCTCCTCTGGGCACCCCTCCAGGTTGAAGTCAAAGTCTTCACGTTGACCACCAAGTCCGTGATGATTTGTCCTGTTCCTTCTCTCTGCCCTCATCTCTTCTTAGAAGTAAGAAGGAAAAAAAGATTAAAAAGTATACATAAGTGATTTTAAATATATAAGAAACAACAGGGAAAAAAAGCAGGAAGAAGCCCCCTGGCAGCTTGTCCCGGATGTTCCCAGCTGGACACGGACAAGGAGGTGCTGTCTGGGCAGTGATGTCCAGACAGTCCATCTCTCAGACACCGGGGACCAGGACGCCATCGCCAAGACCCTCTCCAGCCCCATTTTAGAGCCGCCAGGTTTACATCCAGTGATCTCAGAAAGGTGCACTTAGAACTCCGATTTAACCCCCACAAGTACTTGCTAATGTGCAGTAGCTTACTGTTTTTCCAGTTACTTCTGCCTCTCCCTAGAATGTGAGCTTCTCAAGAGTAGCGGTTTCTGTCTTTCTTGCTCACTGCCGCTTGCCCAGCTCCCAGAACAGGACCTGCACATTTCAGGCACTTAGTAAATAGCTGTTGAATAGGGCCCTCCCCGGTGGTGCAAGGGGTTAAGTCTCAGCACTGGGAAGCTGTCACAGCCACTGCACTAGAGTTCATTCCCCTGACCCAGGAGGCGACCCACATGGTGCAGCAGCTCTCTCCTGTCTCACCCTCTGTTCCTGCAACAGTGTATTTTGGTCAGTCTCTGCCTATTCTACTCCCCACTCTGTTTCTGGTGAATCTTCTCACTCCCCACCACCATCCCCCATTCCCCTCACTTCTGGCCTGTACCCCAGTTCCTGTACTCATAAATAAGTAAATATTTAAAAAATAGTTGTTAAATGAATGACATAGTTTGTGATGAGATTTCTCATTGAATTATCAGCACCATCGATGAAATAGCCACAGCATCACTGAAGTCTTCTTCCACACTCCTGTGAGTTCAGGTGAGATTAGCTAACTTGCTTTGGCCAATAAGAGGCAGATGGACGTGTTGGGAACATCACCGCCATCACTGCCTGTAGTAGTATTTGAAAGCCAGTACAGGGTGCTACATGTCACATCCTCTTCCTCTTCAACTTGGGGTTGGGGGGGGGGTTCTCTGAAGGCCAACACAGAGGTGTCACACAAAGAAAGCCACCTGGACCATTGCATGGAGACCCTCTGCCTGTTTCTGTGAACATGAAATAATTTGAGGTGTTAGCTAAGATCTAGGGTTCCTTTGTTATCACGTGTAATCTGACCATTTTTTT